TCATAAATTCTCTGACAACCTCGCCGTTTTCATTTTCTACAACAAGTACTTCTTCGGGCTTTGCCATTCTGCTAATCATGATGTATCGTACTTTCGTTAGAACTTGACCATAAAATAATCTCCGAGGTGGAACCGTCATGTTCTTAGTCATGAAAAGCGGTGATGAGGTCACAAAAGGATTTTCTTTGTACAACTCAGAAGCTAATCCATTCCAGTATTCTAAACAGATTTTAAATATTTCAACCTCGTCGACCTCAGAGATAAGAACGAGATAATGTAATGCCTTTACTAGTGTATCATTTAATTGTTTTTTCTCTATTAGCTCGCCATGATCCTTCAGATAAGTGCAAAGAAACATGGCTAGATTTTGAATAAAATTTTGTTCTTGGTCTTGACCAGCTGCGTATGCTTCACGTATGTTAGTTTCCAACGGAAGCATCAACTCCAATTGCTGCATTGTGTTGATAAATAATATAACGAACATGTCATCATAATTCGGCACAGTTGCGGTAACTGCCGCAATTTCAGTTAGACACTTTAGCGTAACGTTCCGAAATATTGGTACATTCAAAAACTGTAAATTAAAAACAAGGATTGATTTTTAAGAAATGGCAATACTTAATTAAAACGCAAAATAATGAAGAGGAGAGGGGGAAATATGATAAGATATAAATTATACCTTGAATATTAAAGTAGTTATCAATTTCGTTTCGAAAATATAACCGAGTGGAATCCAATTTAAAAACCTTAGGAGCGTCTCTAACGTGACTGCTACTAATTGAACATTTTGTGAATTATCCATTACAAATTGGCAAAGTTGGAATATTTGTGAAAATTCACTGCACATTGTATCTTTTAAGTGTTTCGCCTTTGTCTGAGTGAGTTGACCGCTAGAAAAGTCAAATACTTCCTCTGACAAAAGTTTTAAGATGGCCATATTATTCTGACAAAGACTCTCGTTAGTTTTACTTGCACCAACGATGTCGCTGATGAAGGATTCCCAATTTTTTGGCCACTCGCGTTTCAGTACCTGATGAGATGAGTTTTATTATTAATTATCATTATTAACATTATTAATCGGTATCATATAAAGGAAATAAAATACATTTCTACTTACTTGTACAAGTATCATATTAAGTTTGTTAAGGTAAACTTTGGAAGCTTCCATCGTCTCTGGATCGCTGCTCGTTTTTATGATAAGACCTACAATGTATTTTTTTATACCCTCGCACTGATTCCTTGGTAGCACTTTCCATCGTGTCTTTATAACTTGCTCCAATATTTGCAAGCCATAATATTTTGTTTGTTGATTCTGTGCCACAATATAATTATTTGCATGTATATATATATATATATATATATATATATATATATATATATTATATATATGTATATATAATATATAATATATACATGTGACCAAAGATGAGAAACAATTTGTTGACATTTACCTGTGAATATTCTAAGATAGTATCTACTCGTGTCCAAGCGTTTGGATGTTCTTTAAGATTCGTTAATACCTCTTGGGCGATTCTCTGTTGCTCACCTATCCCACTGTACATACATCCTACTATATTGTCCAGAAGTGTTATATCCAATTTTTCATTGAAGTTCAGTAATTTATTTGCTTGCTCAGCCAAAGTTGCCATTGTATATCTTAACTATACACCCTTTTGCACGTATTACCTTTCAAATAAAAAAGATAAATAAAAATATCATTCATTAATAAATTATTTGAATAAATCAATTGATATTTTAGTGCTATTTATTCGGTAGTGAATACAAATCTATTTATATCATCTATGGTCCTTGTTTAAATGTTAAACAAAGATAATGAGTATACTAGATTTATATCGATTAAAAAGTATTTAGTTTGATAATATAAATAATTCTAATGACTTTTTGAATTTAAAACTATTACTTATACTCCAAATTATAAGAGATGCAAAATAGATAAAACTAAATCGGATAAAAACATCCAAAATCCAAATAAATAAATTCTAATGATATACAAGTTTTATTCTAAATATCATTGTCCTCAATTAGAAATCTAACATGAAAGATTCAGAGATAATATTTTGCACCGAGATGAGCATCGAGCAACGTTTTCAAAAAAGGCAAAAATTGGAAATTTCGTCGCACGTGTTCGTGTTGCGCTGCGTCGAGAGAATCAAGGGGGCTCAACGACGCGGACGTCGACCGTGGCGTGAACGCCGCGTCTGCGACGCGGATGGATCGACGTCGTCGCGAGCATGAGGGAAAAAAAATCTCTCCTTAGAAATGCCACGCGAGGGGTCACCGATCCTCCACCGTAACCACCGCCACCGCCACCGCCACCGTCGCCGCCGCCGTCGCCGTCGCGACCGACCGCCCGCCCGCCCGCCCGATCTAACCTACATTTGACAATCGGAAGCAAGGTTATGTGAATTGCGTTGCGGGCGCAAATTGTCACGCGGGCGGACGAGCGAGACGTATAAAACGCGGGCGAGAACGTGGGATAGCCGTGGATCCACCTAGCTCGTGCGATCTCGGCAACCCCGCGCGAGGGCGGCCCCTCGGACGAGCCGTTGCGTCGTCGCTCGTCGAGTGGACAAGGCGCCGCGGGAAACGACGCGCCGACTTACCGTGTTCACTCTCATACAACGTACTCTCCGTTCGGGAATTAAAAAACGCACACGCTCCGCGCCGACGGCCGGATCACCACGGCGCGAATCACAAGCATAAAAGGGTCAAACACACAACCGCTGATTCCCGCGCACGACCACCAATTTTCGTACCTCGTTTCACGCACTCGTCATTCCTCACCGTCTATCGCGGTCTCTCTCTTCCTCATTCGTTCGCTCACGCTCTCTCTTTCTCTCTCTCTCTCTCTCTCTCTCTCCTTCTCTCATCCTCTCTCTTACTCTTCTGCCTCTATCTCTCGCACGTATTCCCTCATCTCTACCTTTTCTCTCACGCCGTTACTTCTGCGACAGTCGCTAGCGAGGAGAGGTCGACACTACGACGAGAAAGAGATACCCACCACCGAGGCCGTTCTTCGTCGCGATCTCGCACTCTTAACCTCATGCGAACTGCGTCTTTCACAAACTGATCGCTCGGGAACAAAGTGCCAGAGGCGTTCGCACGTACTGCGTCTTCCCGAAAATCCAACCTCAAGATTTTCGAAAATAATAACAAGATGGCCGGAAAAAGTTTACGTGACTATTGCGGACAGACCGCGGCGGCGATTGGTCCAGCCGCGTGAGCTCGACCAATCGGCACATCGCTAAGCGGCTGTTTCTCGTGACGCCACAATTGGCGTCGTCTGACGTCACGCCAGCACGTGCGCTCTGTTTTTGACTCGACCGATGCTTCGTCGTAGGAATGAACGAGACCGTCAAATTAATATGCGATACGTGCTCGAATAATGCAAATGAATGCGTGGGACACAATGGCGAACACTGAAAATGCGACCACGTCCGATAATCTACAACAAAATAGTTTTCAAACTTTCGCAAGTTTATATCAGGTTGCCGAACGAACACGTTGTTCTTCAGTGCAATCAGTTTTTTTAGTCAGTTTTTAGTCAGATTAAAAATAAACTTTAAATTTATTTCCTTCAAATTTTAATAACTCTTTTTATTTATAAGTTATGTTATCAAAATGTTATAAGAGATATGAAACAAAATTAAAATTTTTAACAATGAAAAAAATGACCGATTAATCTTCACATGCACTTTATTTTTCTTGCATGAAGAATTTGCCACTTTGATCACTTAAAAAAACTCACTTATTATTAAATACTGTATATTCAGATTTAATCTAAATTAAATTATAATATTACTATTTTATGTAAAATAAATAATTACCTAAATATCAAAATTTTCTAAGCACATTCTAAGCACACCCATTAAAACTTTTACAAGATAAAGAAATGTCTGATGAAAGATATCTTTAAATATAACACAGATCTGGTTTTTTCTCAATGAATTTCGGAACGCAAGTTGGTCATAAATTATAAAGCAATTTTTTCGATAATCGAAAAAATCGATAATTTTTTTCTTTTAATCAAAATTTTGTATTGATTAAAGCCAGCGGTACACGATGCTTTTTTTCTTGCTGGTTTACTAGCTGGATTCATATACTTGTTGAACTCTTGTCTTTTTTTAGATCTAAGAAGAATATACCAATCAAAGACAAGAATTCAGCAAGCACGCAATTCAGTTAGCAAACCAGCAGAAAAAAAAGCATCGTGTGCCACTGGTTTAATTTTCTTTTCAATTAATCGATAATCGATTTTTTGTCAACATTGATAAATGACTTTTTTAAGGAAGAATTGAATAATATAAATTTAATAAAAAATATTAATACGTTTAAAACATAAAAAAATATTTTAAAAAGAAAAATGAATTTTAAAAGTAATAAGAGCAAAAAGAAAAATCGATTTTTTAATTAAATATGTAATCAATATCTTTTTGATCTTTCTTTTTTTAATCAATTTTTAAAATATCGATCTTATCTTTAAATATAGTTCATCCCTACTTCTTGAACTAAATATAATTGGTGCAAAAAAATGAACAAATTTATGATTCATTTATTTACATTTCTATCAACATTAACTTTAATCTCAATTTAAGGCCAGTATTCATAATCAGTTCTTATATTTAAGAACTCTTAAGATCGTCCAAGATAATATTTCAACCAATAGCTGTATGAGCTTATTCAAGACGATCTTAAGTATAAGAACTGACTATAAATATCAGCCTAACTTACTTTTTTTAATTCTAAGAATTAGAATTAGAAAGAGATAGAATAACTTAAATTGAGATTAAAATTATTTATTAAGATTAATTTATATTTGTAGGAACATCAGAGCTATAAATTGGTTTAATTACAAAAAAAATTGAACAAATAATTTTGCTCCGGTTAACCAATCAGAAAACGCTTCAAGCGTATTTGTAATGGATTGCCCCTTGTACTTTTTATCTTCGCTGGAAAGTAGCCTTTATACTCCGAATGTATGTACATCACATTTTCATGTTTCTGATGTATATCTTCTTCTTGATAACGTCATCTAAGTACCTGAGTGTGCGGTGCGTTGGACACGTGATATCGAATTAATCGTATTTCCCTTTGGTTTGATTTTTCGAGTCTCGGCATAGTTGGCTCAAAATTACATTAGAAAGTAAATTAAATTCATTATGAATTAATAAATGATTAATGCTTTGTGTTCTATGCTGTAATTAATTTTTTTAATATTTAAAAAATGTGTTCCTCGGTCACGAAATTTAAAAAAATTTAAAGAAATATATCAATTTAAAATAGTTATGGAAAGAAATCTTTTTAATTGATAAGTTAACGCTTTGTGTTTTCAAATTAGAAATGGCAAAGAGAATACAACCAGCCTGGCATCTGCCAGATAGGAAAGACGCCACAGTCTTGCGATTATACAACAGTTTGACCCGAGAAAAAGAAGTGTTTGTTCCACAGTTTGGAAATCGTGTTCTGTGGTATAGTTGTGGACCTACTGTTTATGATGCGTCACATATGGGCCATGCAAGGTATTTAGGAATATAATCTTTTTAACAAGTATCTCGTTTTATATAATAGATTATTTTATGAAGTAATTTTTCTTTACAGGTCATATATATCTTTCGATATCCTACGTCGTGTATTATCAGATTATTTTGGATATGATGTTTTGTACGTAATGAATATTACTGATATAGATGATAAGATTATAAAAAGAGCAAGGCAGAATTATTTATATGAAAAATATATAGAAGAAAATCATGGCCTTAATAATATACTGGATGATGTTAGGAAAGTTATGTCTAATTTTGAAAATATTGTGAAGACTAGCAGCGATGATAAGAAGTGCATGTTAGAAAAGATGTTACATAAAGTAACAGAAGCTATAGAAGATCTGCAGAAAGCAGTAAAAGAGAAGGATGAAAAAAAAATTGCAGAATTCCAAAAGGTAAATGTTGCTTATGATGTAGAATCTTTTATGATTATTTTGTATAAGCATTTTTATGTATATACAGGCATTATTGACAGAGGCTAGAGATCCTTTAGCTAATTGGCTGGATGGAACAAAAGGTAGCACCGTTACAGAACATTCTATATTTAATAAATTGTCGCAACATTGGGAGACTGAATTTCATAAAGATATGGATGCATTAAATGTAAGACGTGAATATTTTTTATGATTTTCAAAATAATTTTGCAACTCATTATTTTTCACAAATTTTTTAGGTATTAAAGCCGAATGTACTTACAAGAGTTAGTGAATATATTCCCGAAATAATAACATTTGTACAACAAATAATAGATAATGGACTCGCTTACGAAAGTAATGGATCTGTATACTTTGACGTTAGCAAATTTGATAAACAAGAGAAACATTTTTATGCTAAACTTGTACCAGAAGCATATGGTGATACATCAAGCTTAGAAGAAGGAGAAGGTGGGTTATTACACATGTGTCTTTTATTGAGTTAGCTAATTTATTTTTTCTTTATTTTACTAAGGCGACTTGAGTACTACAGTAGATAAACTTTCCGAGAAGAGATCGATAACAGATTTCGCCCTCTGGAAAAGTTCAAAAGCAGGGGAACCCTGGTGGGATAGTCCTTGGGGCAAAGGACGTCCAGGATGGCATATTGAATGTTCAGTCATGGCATCTACGATTTGTGGAGAAAGTTTAGATATTCATACAGGTGGAGTGGATCTTAAATTCCCCCATCATGATAACGAACTTGCACAAGCAGAAGCGTACTTTGATAATTCGCATTGGGTTAGATATTTTCTGCATTCTGGCCACTTGACTATAGCCGGCTGCAAAATGTCGAAGTCGTTAAAGAACTTCGTAACGATACAAGACGCATTAAAGAAACATTCGAGCAGACAACTCAGACTTGCCTTTCTTTTGCATTCTTGGAAAGATACTTTAGATTATAGCGATAGTACTATGAATATGGCTGTACAATATGAAAAATTTCTTAATGTGAGTACGTAGTTTTTACATATGTATTATATGTAACATATTGATATGATATCATGCCTTTAAATTGATTTAAAATTTGGAGTATTTAAAAAAATATATATGTAATAAAACATGTTTGATTTTTTTCAACAGGAATTCTTTTTAAATGTAAAATGTAGAATTAGAAGTTTAGGAACAAATACTACAATCAACAACTTTACTAAATGGTCTAATCTCGAAGTGGAACTCAATAAAAAATTTCATCTTGCAAAGCATTCTATACATAAAGCATTATGTGGTAAGTTTTTAGGTTTTAATTATTTTTTACTTTGATTATCTAGATACTAAAAGCATCTTTATTGCAGATAACATCGATACAAGAACTGTGCTTGATTTAATACGAGAACTTGTAACAAATTGCAACGTGTACGTGTACATGAATCCAAATAAAAATCCAAATACGCTTCTTCTTAGAGACATTGCCGTATATATTACGAAAATGTTTATCATTTTTGGAGCTATTCCTTCGTCGTACGACTCAGTCGGATTTCCCATTGATGAAGAAACAGTCGGTACAAATGTAAGATCAATAGATTAGCAAGTTCTCTTTTGCGTCGGAAAATTTAACAAGATTCGAATCTTGCACTATTTTTTTTTCTCAATTTTCATCTTTTTCAAATTTTGCATTGTGAATTAGTTTCTGAAATTTGAATTCATAATTTATTTCAATTTAATCTAAAGAGTGCAAAATTTGAATAAGAATTAAACCATTTAATCTCTTCTCGAAATATGTCCTCTTGATAATCTTTAAGCATATCTCGAAATATAATTTAGATATCTTAAAATATAATACAAAATAATATAATTATATGTAATTATATGTTATAATTTACATTTCATCACCAGATTGAAGAGATTGTCATGCCACATCTTGAAATTTTGGCAAATTTCCGGGAGAATGTTAGAAATTGCGCAAAAACCTTGAAAGCAAATGATATTTTGCAAGAGTGCGATCGGTTACGTGATGATATTTTACCGAACGTTGGTGTGCGACTAGAAGACAGTAACGAAGGAGTATCGAAAGTGAAATTAGTTAATAGGGAAGAGTTGTTGAAAGAAAAAGAAATTAAGAAAAAACTAGAATTTGAGAAAACTTTAGAAAAAGAAAAGAGAAAGGCAGAGGCTGCTGCTGCTGCTGCAGCAAAAGAAGCGCAGAAAAGAATATCGCCCAAAGATATGTTTAGATTGGAAAAAGATAAATATTCGCAATTCGACGATAAGGTAACCATCTTGCTTATTTCGTATAATACTCGTTTCATGTTCTTTCTTTTTTATGTCTTTTTTATATCTTTCTACTCTTCTATATAGGGTTTGCCGACACACGATATCGAAGGAAAAGAAATTAGCAAAGGCTTACTTAAAAAGCTGCAAAAGTTACAGCAGGCACAGGAAAAGAAATATAATGAATATTTAGCTTCTATTCAAAATGGTTGTTTGTAAGATCTTATTTTACAAACTTATCCGTAAAGAACTGTCTCGATTTATTTATAAGATTATACTGGATTATCATGATAGTTTTATACTTCAACAGCTGTATCAATGCTTTACGAGAAAATAATAATTCTGTTATTATAAAGTATTGAGAAATATCTAAATTTATGACTGAATTGTGGTTTATATAATGTATTAAAATAATTTCAAATGAGTCTGAATATATATCTGAATTAATTGATATAAAATTATCTCTCTTTTCTGAAGCTTTGTTCTAAAAGTTTCTGTTGAGAAGTATTTAAGTGTTGCGGTTTCCTATCAGTATCTTTTTTTATGATTAAGTATTTCAATCGTTAAACTTTTTCAAATTACTTTGTAATCTATTTATTTTAATTATTTTTTTGGAATATTTATTTACGAATTAATATAGGAATTCCAATATTATAATTTATTAGTTTTAAAGTAAGCTAACTTTGTAAGATTTTGTGTATTTGCATCGCAATAAATGTGTATGTGGCATTACGTTAGGTTTTATATCATCATAAGATCATTAAATATATATATATATATATATATATATATATATATATATATATACACATATACACACACACACACACACACACACATTAGAAAAAAATTGCTTCAATATCGCGAAATACTCGACAGTATATTCATACTTGATACGTACACGTACGCGTATCGCGCCGATGCGATTCGAAACTGGTCAGAACAAAATAAATGTTACGCGTTTTCACTCCACCGGATGAATTTGACGCGCGATGTTGTCCATTATTAAAACATAATACCCCTTTCATAACGAGTGGGCGTCAAGCCGACAGTGACAGCTTCGTAAATGCGAAGGCGATATAATGCTCGACTCGCGGCGCAAAGCGAACCGATATTCATCCCATATTCAAAAGCAGTGAAAACCCGAAGCAGACGAACAGGTCGACCCGTCAGTCGCTTTTCCAACTCGCCGTAAAATACGCATCGTATCCGATAATAACCGATACCCAGCCCCGAAAACTCGTCAGAATAATCGGGGAAAGCCGACCGCGCCTTGCCACCCCCTCCCACCCTCACGATTACAAATTGTGTTTCCGGACTGGGAGCGAAGCGGCAGTTAAACTCCTACCTACGGAAACGCTTCTTCCTTCTTAATCGAGAAAGTTTAATACGATACATCTCATGTCATGTTCGTTTACATATTTGTGTCATCGCCGTCGCACGCGCGTTTGTAACGAAGCATTGTGTCGAGTACATTCCCTTAGAATCGCAAAGTTTTCTTATCTAAACTTTCGTCGATAGTTTCCGTTCATCGTATATGACTTTTAATTGTGCTTTCAACTCTTGATTTTTGACGTTAAAACGCATTTAAATACTCTTTCATGATGATCTATTTATATAATTAGACATATACGTATATAATTTATCTTTACAATTTTTGTTTCTAGATATAGCCCCCTTATTAAAGTTAAATTTCTTTTTATTTTCTATAGTATCATTGAATTAATAATTTTCTATAGTATCATCAATTAAGTCTTTATTACAAAATTGCATTATTATTATCAGAATTTTATTTAAAAAAATAATTATCTAAAAATAATTATTTAATTAATATTTATTTAAAAATAATTTTATTAAAAAATTCTGATTTTCTTTTGTTAATATTTATGTCTTATTTTGCGCATCCTTTTCTTGCAAATCGATACCGACGAAATCATGACGTCTTTTTTTTAGTCGTAACCGTGATGACTCGTTTCTCTCCTTGCTACCGTTATTGGCGGACAACGTGTAGAAAAGAAAAGGAAAAGAACGAAAAAAACGCGAGCCGAACATTAACAATGCGGGACGGTTGACGCAAAAAAATACGCGCTCTCAAATATCAAAGTCAAGAGAAGCAAACAGACTCTTCGTCCATGCATGGCCTGATCCCCATTCTATTCCAACATCGCGTGAACAAACGCGTAAATTTTTTAATAAATAAATCGAGTTCGCCGCGCATTCCGAAATCCGAGAATCCCGATGCTATGATTGACACCGAGATGCTCTTGACGTTGTACCAGGCTGCAGTATATCGAATAGTTCCATTGGATATTTTTTTGTTTATGAGGAAATCATCGTTCTCGAAGAAATTCAACGAAGAAGATCTGTGAAAATTTGTCCGTGAATATTTTTAATTAAGACCTCAAGTTTATTCGGATTTAATGTTATTTGTATAGATATAGAATAAATGTAAAAAATGTGATTAAATTTGACTTAATCGAATTTTCTAAGATACTCAAATAAAAACGTATCAAATTCAGATTCATATTTCAAATCGCGAATTCACAGCAAATTTAGATGTCAAACCGAATTTGAATTTGTAGTAGATTCAGATTCGAATCTGGATCTGGATTCTGGATCTAATTTAACATGAGAATGAAAAAGTGTGCTATTAAAAAGGATATAGTTTATCAAAAAATATTTTAGAAATTATTTAAGATCGTCGTTTCCTTCCTTTCCGCATAGAGATTTAAATTGATATTCAATTCGGATTTGAATTGAAATTTGAATTGAAATTCAAATCACAATTCTGGATCCAAATAATCCAAATAATGTGATTTTAAATCGTTTTTTGATATCAGAATATTTAATTCTATTTTTAACTCTTCCTCATTCCTCAATTTTCTCATTCCTTCGATTTCTCTATAATCAATATCTGATAACTGCTTGGAATATTCTAAAGCAACGATTTTGATCTTTTTTGGAAAGAATTCGCGAATTGCTCTCGCGTTTTTTTCCTAATTAAGAAAAAAAATTAATAAATTAAAAATAAAACAATCAAAATAATTTACAAAGAATTCTGTTTATACAACATTCAAATTTTAACGTATGTGAAGTTAAGTAATAATAATAATAATAATGATTATTACTTTTAGTAATAAGATTAAGTATTATTTTTATCGGAATTATTTATGAGACGAACGAAGATATAAAGATCACAAAATTCGTAAACACAGCTTAATCTATTTTAATAAATTATGATATATATAATCACTCTGCAATCAATTTGATCATCTGCATCTTGTATAAATTGATGCAACGATAATATCAAAAGCAAAACCAAAGATGCGAATTAACAAGAAGATAACAGATGTTACAAATAATATTTTGTGGGATATGACTTCACTTGTGCCAATATTAGTCCGGTTTGCGTAATTCGAGAGCAAATTAAATGGAACATTTGAATATCAATGCGCGAACAACTGCGGAAGAACTTTTGCATTGTTGATCTTTATTAATTCTTTCATGTCTTTTGCCAATCAGTCTAAATTAGATGTTATTCATTCGTTAATTAATACTTTGAAGTTCAACGGATTTGCAGAGGTAAATGCGATGCTACCAATGAACAACATGTGCCTGCATCTCGTGTGTAAAGAAATTTCTCCGCGGGTAAAATTGCTTTCGCGTTTGCGATTTTAATCGGGATTTCGATCCCGATAATCTTGACTTAGTGTCGATCGGCAAAGCATGATCGCTCACGCATAATTGTACGTGTATAATAATTCTGTGCGATGTTTTGATGTATTAACAGCTGCATCACGCCAGATGGTCGCGAAGAACATCTTAATTATTTTTGAGACGAAAGATTGAAAGTAAGCATTAGTAGCTCAATGTCATAATGGCACTAGCCTTTCAAAATAATAATTAGGCGAAAGTCTCGTATCGTACGCATATCCTTTTTTTTTCTATCTCTATTATTTCTATTAATTTTATTCATTTTCTTGTTATTTTTTTCTATTTTTTTCTATTCTTTATTAATACTTGTAATCTGAAAATTTGGAATTATTCAATATTTTATTTATTCCTCGATATGTATCAAATAAAAAAAATCAATTTTATCTGTTTCAATTAGTTTTCAAAAAATAATTTTTTGTTAAAATATTGAATTATCAATAATTTTAGAATTTAAAAGAGCGGAATTCAGAAGTTTTTTTAAAGAAATTATCTTTATTAATTAGACAACAATACTTTTATTATGTACACAGATTCAAATAGATTCCATAACTTTTAGAATTTACATTCAAGATTTAATTTATCACAAGATAATTGCAAATATTAAGAGAAGTAACGTACATAGCGGTACAAGCCTTTATTTGAATGTCAAACATGAAGTTCCTATGTCGATAACACGATATCTCAATGACGTGTCAAATAAAACGGATGCTGAATTAGTGATGTATTGCTCTATTTCAATTTATCTGAAATACAGTTCATCGATACATTTCAAGCCCACTTCCGTTTTATTAATTCAATATTCAAAAGAAAAAAATTTTATATATTATTAGAAGAATAATTAGAATGTTATAATTGTAAGGGCAATTAAAATATTTCACGCATTTCGAGAAATTGACAAATGTTATATCGAGACATATTATATTGTATCATATTATATTATATTATACATACATATTTTATTATATTATACATATTATATTTTATAAAAAAGTACACGATGCTGGCAGAGCGCGAAATGCGCTTAGCTAGTGACAATTTTATAAAACCGGAAATCATCGAGATGCGACTATCTGATGTACGTAGTTTCGAATTATCATTGAAAAATTAAGAAGAAACGTTTCCTCCGTTTATTCACGTCAATTCGCAAGTGAGAAACCGAGGACGGATCAGCTCGTCCTGTGACACGACCTCGTCCCTCAACGTCGTCATCGTTGTCGTCGCCGGCACTCCTGGACGTCGACGGGAGGCAGGGTCGACGAACCAGCCAATCATGCGGGGGCCCGTGCATCTGAATTCTAATGAGGCCCACCTGAGTATATATGAGCTTAACCCGCGGCTTCGTTCGCGCTTTTTCCGAGGTATCTCTCCGCCGCGCAGGTGAGTCCTCCTCCTCTTCTCTTCGCTCTTTTTCGCGAGATACTCCGGCATTCTCCGTGTAACGTCTCTATGATCGAGCGTATCCTCGAGCAGTATCGTCGGCGAAGGTTTCCGCGAAGATTTTCTTATCGCGACTTTTAACAGAACATTTACGATCTACGGTAACGAGCGGTTGTTCTTGGATTAGTCAGTGAATGCTGCTCGCGACGTATCGGTAATTTCCATTATTAGCTATCACAATTAGACGAAACGATCGCTGAAGACACACGGTGTGTGTGTCAGAAACAATCGAAGTCAGGACGATAGCCGATTTGTGTGTGAGATTCGCCTGTTTCTTTTTCTCGAGTATCTAAATGCTATGCTGTCTACAATTAGTTTCTCACAGCTTCGTGACAGCCGATTATTCCCCAAGACTGCGCTGCTTTCATTGAAGACAAATAATAGTCTGACTTTGTGCAGTACACCGCATAGAGATTTTTTATACGGATTTTAATAAAATAAACAAAGTTGTATGTGCGTGTACGTATGTGTATGTATCTGTGTTACGACGGAGCATAAGAATAGTTTGATAAATTATGTCATGTGAATCAGATGTCAATTTATGTTCTTTGATATTGACAATCACAAAGGATTTAATATCGTGAAAAAAATCAATAAATTTGGATTAGGCAAAAAGAGTTACGATTAATTAATAATAAAAACGAATTTTTTCCGAATAAACTCAATTTTACATACATATATCCAGTGTTGGCTTTTATTAGCTTTTATTTGGCACTAATTTTAATTATTAATTCGCGATTAATTAATAACTTTATTTTCACTTAAAGATAAAAATGCTTTTTTCAGTCAATGATCTTTACACCTCTTTCTATAATCTAATATTCCAATTTCATATTTATAATAAATATTCCTCTCAGATATTTAAAGACAGAAAGGTATTTTTCTTCTCTGCTATTTCGCATGCCATGTATGATTATACTTTTGTTTATATACATCGGATATTAAGAAACAATTTGCCCTCGCGTTTGTCACTTTAATCGTCTTTCTCCATTAAGCTTTGCGGATGCCACTTCTGATAACGACTTCGTGTGAATAATATCGCACAATCGTAAAAACCATCAGCCCACACGTTTGCAATGTCCGCGCGCGAACTTGGTAGAAACTCGGGATCGTCGACACAAGATCGTTTACTGAATGTCCACTTTGTTCTTTCTTTTCTTTAATTATTTCCTTTTTCTCTCTCTCTCTCTCCTTCGAACGAAACGAAGGTCGAACACCAATGTCGCATCTACATGCCGAAAATACTTTCGAACAATTCACAAAATTTTCATCTCCAATTCTAACGCCTCAACTACCGATCGTTTGTTCAAACTTACTCGCTTATCGATCGCTTGACGTTTCGACAGATCGACGATGTGTGTGTGTGTGTGTGTGTGTGTGTGTGTGTGTGTGTGTGTGTGTGTGTGTATGTTTCGCGAAATCCATCCGTCGCGAATTCTAGAGCAGCGCTCTTTTTTTCTTAATGAGAAGATGACACCGTTTCTATTTTATTTTTATGCGCCTTTTTATTAACCGACATTCCAGATATTTTTATTGCGGGCCTCTCGTGAGGCATGGGCGGAACTCGCTACGGTTCCTTTGCTTCCTTTTCGACAGCCGAAACGAAGGTCAGACCGGAGGTATGTCCGCGTAAGGCACGAGACTCCTCGCGCGCCCGTATTACCATATCGTAAAACGAAAAATCCGAGATTCTCGTAAGAGTTCACCGTTATCGATAGGTAGGTAGCGTGAGCGATGTCGAATAACAAAACATTAATTAACATCGGCCAGCCGGATCGAACCGTTACCTCGCCACCGACAAAGCGAGCAATGCGATATCGCTAGCACGCGAGGATACTCCTAACGACTCTATGAAGCTGCTGCGAAACGCCCGTAGCCTCATCCCGATCATCAACACGCGATTACTCGAATACAAATGTCGCCCGTTTCTTTGTTCCCCATTTTATTTGTTGCTTTTCCATGTACTGCATTTGATGTAAATCGATAGAAAAATTCGCTCGAGAAACAATGTGACACGATGTGATACAATTGCTTTAAAGACAATTTGATTTTGTTTCCCTTTTTTTAGAACTAAAAATTAGTAATATACACAAAACAGTCATGAACATTCAATTTTTATTCTTAGAGTGCACATTTTTTTTTGCAAATCTTTTCAATTTTGAGAATATTTTATTTCACGAGAATTTAAATAGATCTTTACATTTTGCGAATTTCATATAGAAAAGTAGGAAGATTGACGATTAAAACGATTAGTGTTCACAGAAAAAAATTGACCATTCAAAGGATTTATGTTTATGTCTAAGGAAATTAGACAATTTTAAGTGATCTTCGAGATCGAGTGTATTATAGTTAAAGGAAACAAAGGCATTCGTTCTATCGGGATATCGGGGATACTCGGTTTGTCGACTCGACGCGACTTCGGCGTTTGTATTCAAAGTGTAACGAGCGGAACAGGAGTCTCCGCAAGAATCGACTCCGCATCGCGCATCTTAATTCACGGACGAGGATCTTGGCGGTCGTCGCGGCCGCGAGCGTAGAAGGCTTTTGCACACCGGTGCGTTTTCGTTCGTTCATTTATTTTTAACCACTGCCGCGACATCGCCCGACTGCTTTATCCCGACACGCGGTGGTCGTAGAGAATCCGAAGGATGGTCTTTGATTTCTCCCGAGAGGCGCAGTTCCCGCCACGCCGAATTCGGATCGTTATTCGACGCCGGGACCTATCGAGGAAAAAAGGGAAAGGAAGAAGAGAGGGAAGCAACTTCGTCGAAGAATTTTATAACTTCAAAACATCGTTTTCCCCCCATCGTCTCCGTCCACCGTCTCGGTCGTTAATTCTGCTTATCACCTTCGGGTGGCAGACTCGCAACACCGGTATTCGGTGGCTGTTCGTCGAGCTTACAGCTCTTCGAAATAATCCTGTACAGAGTCCGGTGCATTTTACATAATTATTTTAAAAGCGACGGAGTTGATGAAACGCGCGAGCGAATGCCGCGTCGCCGCCCGGCGACTTCCGGTTGCTTTTCTTGCGTGGGAACGAACGGTCAATCGAGCAATCGCGCAATTTTACGCAGGGATAAATCTAGGGTTTTCCCGGAATATGTTTTACAAGCCGCAAAACTTCATTGTACAGTCGTAATTCTGCTTCCTTTCGTGTCGAGTGTGGATTGCACTGGGAAATCCTCGAAACGATGTCGGGCGCAATCCTTCGTTTGAATCCCTCGAATCTCGCAAATATATCAAGAGATAATGATCGTGACTTCGTACGATAATTCGGGATCTCGTTTAAAATATCCAACTTTAATAGTATTTTAAATCGTTGAATAAATAGCATAGTTCGTGATTTACCGGAAGAGAGGTGGTTTTCTCTATTTTTCTCAAAACCGGATTCTCTCGATTCCAATTCCATTTAATAGCCGATTGAAAATCCGAATCGAGAAAATTGTAACTCAACGCGAGAATAAACTAAAGAAACATCGTTGTCAAGATAAATAAACTAAGTCGACCGAACCAAGCCATTAGCTTCACATCTCGTTTATAATTCAAATTTTGTGTATTAACAGCTATATATTACAGAATAATCCAATTATACGGGACTCGCGTATATAACCGTTATCCATATTGATAATTTAATTCGATTCGAAGGTGGATCGATGGGTTTGCTTTGAACTGGTATAGCTGAATATATAATAGGCTGTTAACAGTTAGACATCACTAATGTCCATCTATCGAATAAAAACAGTGATCGTAATAAGCGCATTATAATATAAGGCCCACAATTGGAGAATATATATTTGTAGTAGAAATGTGTCAGATCGATTTCGCATTAAATTAATGTAATTACAGCCGTTTAAAGGTTCTATCGAACTATCGAGCTTATCTGAAATCTCATTTTATATCATCGATCGATCCCCGAAAATACCGAATAGTTTTTACAGATACGCGCTGAAAATGAACATTAAACATTCGTTAAATTCCAGACTTTTCGCTTATTGACAATAATTCCCTTCTTTCAACAGTTAGGTAAGAACAAGTTTTTTGCGTTTGCGCAAAGATGAATTCGATGTCGCGATGGTGATTCGTTGATTTCGCGATCGAAGATGATCTCGCGGCGGATGAAGATTTTTTTGACGCGCGTTCATGCACGGATGAGCCGAGCGTCATTATCACGACCGCACGAAGGTTTCAGGATGGTGTCATCGCTCATTGGAGAACCGGTCGTTATAGATCATTCCCCTCGGGCACTTTGAAAATAAATCGAACGCTTTACGCTCCAAGAAATTTCCGCGAAGGCCGGACGCGAAGCGCTCGGCCAACCGGCCGCGATGCAGAAGCGCGTCGAGTGTCGAGAAAGTCGCACGAGACACGCAGCTTTAAATTAGAAGCATAAAGCTTGCTTGTATTTCAATAGAAAATTCTAAGTTTGACCGCTGAGCGGTATTGTATACGTGGATTAAGGTAATTAAGGTCATATTTATTCAAAGCAAAGAGAAAAAGAAGAAATCAGGAAGAGGTGTGATTTAAAAAAGTCCAAGCCTTCCGTATTGTAGCGAGCTACTTATTATTTTTGTGATTATTTATTTAATCTATTTTACTAAACTCTCTCTTTTTTTGTCTCTCTGTAATTACAGATTCCAAGATGACATTCACAATGGGAAAGCTGTTGTTTTCCCTGCCCTTGTTGCTGACACTTCTGGCGTACGGAGTAGCTGGTGTGTTTTATTTTCGATAATAAGATAAAATTAAAGCACGAAAAGTCAGAATAAAATTAAAGCACGAAAAGTCTTTCCGTCGTAAAATATTTCGTTTAAATATAAATTAAATGTTTTTCGGCTTTCTTATATAATTAATATTTGTTAGCTATTTAAATCCTCTTATTTTTTTCTTTGATTTTTTTTTATAGTGTACAATTTTAAAAAAGAATTTAATAAAGATATCAATAAATTAAAAATCGAGTGATCTAACGACGATTTAGTTCAGCATTAGACGATTACGTGGCACATTGAATAATATATGTATATTTTAGAGAATCCAAGACTGGTCTGTTACTTCAGCAACTGGGCTATCTATCGTCCGGACATAGGCAGCTATGGCATCGATGACATTCCTGCTGATATGTGCACGCATATCATTTACTCCTTCATTGGCGTGAGCAACGTCACCTGGAGCGTACTCATCCTCGACGAGGAGCTCGACGTCCAGAATGGCGGCTTCAACAAGTTTGTCGCTCTGAAGCAGAAGTATCCGCATCTGAAGACCCAAGTTGCGATCGGTGGCTGGGGTGAAGGTGGTAGAAAGTACAGCCAAATGGTTAGCGTGAAGTCCAGACGTGATGCATTGGTCAGCGGCGTCGTCGGTGAGTTCGAATGAAGTATTTACTGGATAAAAAAGTTTCTAGAGAATTAAAAATGCAACTCTTGGCGAACTCGATCCTAGGAGTGTGATAAAAATTTTTGTCTTTTGAAAAAAAATTTGTCTTTTTGCAACGTTTAAGAATCTCGCATAACAATAAAAAAATTCTATTTAAATATAATTAACAGTAAGATGTAATGAAAATTCTTACGTGGATTTATTTAACTCCAGTATGGATCGCCATCTCTTTTGCGCGATTGAATTGAGAAAGGATTTAATAAAATCTCTGATTTCGTTCGCAGAGTTTATGAACAAGTTCGGCTTTGATGGCTTCGATCTTGATTGGGAATATCCGGCTGCTACCGACAGAGGTGGCACCTTCAGCGATAAGAATAACTTCTTCTATTTCGTCGAGGAGTTGAGGACCGCGTTCGACAAGGTTGGCAAAGGCTGGGAGATCACGATGGCGGTACCAATGGCTACGTTCCGCCTCAACGAGGGCTACCATGTGCCAGAATTATGCGAGTGAGTTCCTCTTTATTCTACAAATTAATAATTTATTATATAAATTATATAAATTAATAAATTTATATGAATTAGATTAATTAAATTAAAATAGATTAATATTTATGCACGAGTAAAATATATATAATATACATATGGTAAATATTTACGTGAGATAGAATTGATAAAAATTTTTTAATCATTGTTTTAATAATTATAGACTCGTCGATGCCATCCACGTGATGTCTTACGATCTCCGTGGCAACTGGGGCGGATTTGCCGACGTCCACAGCCCGCTCTACAGAAGACCTCATGATCAGTACGCTTATGAGAAACTGAACGTGGTATGCTTCCTACATCTTTTTCTTTTTCGATAAAAATATTCGCGCACACTATTCTTACGGAAAAATTGCACAATAATTGATTTATGCTGATGAAAATGATACTTGAACATTTTCATGTTAACGAACTGTCTTAACTATCTCAGAATTTCTAATCGAGATTCAAGCACTCAAGCCCATAAATGTACGAGATAACTGCCGCTATTTTCAGCACGATGGTCTTCAACTCTGGGAGGACAAGGGATGTCCCGCCAACAAACTCGTCGTAGGAATCCCGTTGTATGGACGTACCTTTACACTTAGTCAGGGTAACAACAACTTCAAGCCTGGTACTTATATTAACAAGGAAGCGGGTGGAGGTGCGCCCGGTAAATACACTGGGGCTAAAGGATTTTTGTCTTACTACGAAGTAAGTAATTGATTCGAAAGGAGTTAAAATGAGTATAAAGCGATATTAAAATATAATTATATTTTCTCTTATATTTTTCTACAGATTTGTATGGAACTTAAAGAACCGGATAATAACGGATGGACCAAGGAATACGACGATATAGGCAAAGTGCCCTACATGTACAAGCGTAAGTTTATCTTTTAATCTAAATAAGAAATAAAAGTTTTTATATATTCACAGAACGACTTACGATTGCTGGAAATTCAATAAATAAAGCGTGGAGAATTGATTTATAAATATTATAAGGTGAATGCTCCAGTAAATAGTCGCTTAAAAAATATAGTTCGATAATTTGATTTCTTTATTATTTGTATATAAATAGCATTTTTATCGCATTTTTATCTTTCAGAAGTATTTATCTTTATTTTTCAGGAATAATTAGTACTTATGATGATGGTTTAATTGAAATTAAATAAACTTTAAAGTTAAATGTTTTGTTTCCATTTTTAATGAAAAGCACATAATTATTTTATACAATTTTAAAAATAACTTTATATGTAGATTTAATATTCATTCATTTTTAATTTATTTACTGGTGCGCTTATCCTATATTAAATTTTATTTTATATTAGAATTCTATGTTTTCCATTCTTTTCATAAAAATAAACAAAATATTTAATATTTAACATTTTTCGGTGATCTATAACAATGGTTTGGTATCTAGACAAAATTAATTTGCAAATACTTTAAAAAAAATTAACAGTAAATCTTGGTTGATAGAAAGCAAGCCTCCTCAATGGGTTGGCTACGAGGATGCTGACAGTATCGTTCACAAGATGAACTTCATCAAAGAGAAGAAATATCTCGGTGCTATGGTGTGGGCCGTTGATATGGACGACTTCAGAGGAATTTGCGGTCCTACAAATCCTCTCATGAAGGCAATCTATGATGGTCTGAAGGGTTATAAAGTAACAAAAAAGGATTACAAGACAACTCCTAGAGTAAGGCATTAGTCAAGTAATATTATGAGTTTAATTTATTTAATCGATGATTAATTCAATTTATATATAGTAAAATTGTGTACAGCAAAAATTTTAATTAAATTTATTGTTTTTAATTTCTTTTTATCTGTCAAATAAACAAGTTATATCTACTTAACATTAAGAAAACTCTACAATTGTTATTTGATATAAGATAATCGTCGATTAACTAAAATTTAAAAAATCGAAATCATCTTGTATATTCAAACGCTGTATATCCAAATAGAAGAATATCTTGCTGTTACAATATGGACATAATAATCATTTTATAATAATCGATTTATTTTTAGCCCGATTGGGACAGGCCACCCAGTACTACACCCTCGACAGGTGAGAAACCAAAACCTACCACGAAGCCCGAGGGAACTACCGAGGTACCTCAGCAGACTACGTCGAAGCCAGTCGATGAAAAAGAAGTCGAGTGCAATGGCCAAAGTATTATCCCCAGCAAAGATTGCTCAACGGTACGTTCGCGAATAAAACAAAAATATCTTCGATCCGCATTTTTAATAATTTTCTGAAATATATGATTGCCACGAGGTATTTTGCGTATTTTTTAATTTTGCGTTCTAACTTCTTTGAATTTGATTTAACCAAATACACGTCTTATAAGATAATGTTTATTTTTTTTGCAGTATTTCGTCTGCAACCATGGCAAACCGATTAAGACAAAGTGTGCGGACGGTTTGATCTTCCAAATTTCCAAGCTCATCTGCGACTGGCCGGCCAACGCCGATCGCGAGGAATGCAGAAATGTCTAATTCATCGATAATTCGATTCTAATACGAACCATTTAACGTTTCATACATCGATTCATATATCTATCAGGTCTACAAAAAAATTTATTGCGATAATTTCATATGACAGAGAACATTCGTTACGCATTATTACTTGTTATTGTGTACGAGAGCCTGTGTGACGCAAAACGATATCGCTGCAAGCCACAATAAATCATACGCAGTTTATAAAAAGTTCGAGAATTTTATTAAATTTCCTATCTTTTGTGGCCTTCGTTTTATAAATTAATTTGTTTATTTCATACTTTCACATGAGTTCAAGTTTAAGGAAAAAAAGAAGTTTTTATAGAGAATTTATCATTAATAATTAAGAATATAACTTAATAAGAAGCAAATGTAAAAATAAATAATTTTGGTAACTTCGGGATAAATTAAGAAATTAATCCTCTTTTTAGGAAAATATATATATGAATATATCGATTAATAATTCAAAAATAAACATCAAAAGAATTTTTTTTAAGATTTGATATTTTTGCGAACTAAAAAGTTGCCTTATGTGCACATGTAATCTACTTACACATAATATATTTTTTATTGTACAAAATGAAATATTCATGTATCAAGAATAGTTCATAGAATACGAATAGAAAATAACTTGTTAAGAGTATAACGAATAGTCCACATATCACGGATACAATCGCGGATTTGTATATGTTCTCGTTCGAAATCGCGACAGACGTCGTTTTTCCTCCTTTCCGTCGTTATTGGTAGCGCAACCTACATAAAAAAAAAAAAAAATGAGAAAAAACGCGATTTGACGTTAACAATGCGTGACGGTTGGCGCAAAAAATATGCTCTCGAATATGAAGTCAAGAGTAGTGAAAAAGCAAACATAGAACTCTCTTCCCGCTCTTCTAATCTACCCCTGCCTACCAAACGTTTCTCTGTTCGCACTCCTCTCGTGAATGAATACGTAAATTTTTAGCGGAAAAATCGTGTGTGTCCCGAGCACGACACCCCAGAGTCCAAAGATTCCGAGCCTTGATTGACACCTGAATGTTCTCGTATGCATATAGAGCCACCCTCTGCCGCATGATCTCTCTCTCTCTTCTCTCTCTCTCTCTCTCTCTCTCTCTCTCTCTATTTCTCTCTTCTTTTTTACATCCCCCAAATCTCTCGTCCAGTCCCTCCTTCTTCCACATTCTGTTACATCGCTTTTATCCGGAAGCGGAACTTGGTGGCTGTTATAATTTAACGAGCACGTTTCTTTCTCCAGTTACCGCGGCATTTGCAAGAATGAACACCGGCAAAGCCCACGTTCCTTTCTTCCTCTTCTCTTATACCACGTAAGGCGGTTCCTTCTCATTCTACGACAATCATCGCCGTTTTTTCTCTTTTTTTTTTTCTATCAAATAATGCCGCGAAAGCGAAGATAAAAAAAATCAGTGAGAAAGTCGAACGTGCAAACGAAATCGATGACGCGTTTCACGTGTTGGAGGGTGAATGGTAGCGCAACGGTTTTTGAAAATTAGAATAGCACCCTGTAAAATATAATTCTAACGATAGTCATTGGTTCGATCTCCGCGATTCTGACAGTTGTTTCGGTGGGCTTTTTTCAACAGTTGCGTTCATGTGTTCTCGGCATCTACATTCTCATGTAGAGTTTATGAAAATTCCATACATATAATATAATAATATATAGAATATAATAATTGAGATTGATAAATACGAAGCTATTATTATATATTCTAAAAAAAAAAGAGAACATTAAGTGCTAAAAATAGACAAAGTATTTAAAAATACAGCAGGCAATAGCTCGTAATTGTAATAATTATAACTTCATGCTGAAAACTATTATAAGCTTTTTTTTACAGTATTTTTATTTTATGTTTAATGTTATATTTCAATTAATTAAATTATCATTCTGAAGAAAACGTGCACGTGTCAACGCAGTGCCATCCGAACGACATATAAATAATGTATTATTGGTCGTATTTCGGGGGCTGGCGACCCCGCGTCTGATTTTTTTGTGGCCTGGGATACGAAAAGGGGGGTATAAGGGGAGGCGGCGAAAGGCTACGGAACCCACTTTTATAACTCTATCGACAATTTTTCGGTTACCCTCTTCACTATTTTCGATCAACTCCGCACACACATTTGACCGCTCGTGTCCTCCCGTTTGATTTATCTTCCAACATAGAAGAGAGAGTCTCTTGACACTTTTCCGGTAAATAATTTTACTCATTGTAGCACGTGCGCTAACAAATCTATCAATTTTATTGGTAAATCTTTCGATTGCCTTATGATTTATTCATCTAGTTATACATTTTTTTGTATTCTTTATTTAAGGCTAGAAATACCAAGCAGACTGTCTCTATTTTTTTTAAATTAATATGTTTTTCTAAAATAAACAAAAATTTTTAAATTTCTTAATTTCAATATTCCATCAGAATAAAGAGAATGCTTGATAAAAAATGAAAAAAATCTTTAATACGAGAAAAAAATATATTAATTTAAAAAAACAAAAGTTGGAAATGACCGTTCAGTACTGCAATTGCATAGTAAGTGGAAGAGATAAGTAAAGATATTTAAAGCGGCGTCTACAATGAGACTTAAGAAATTGGCCAATCATAATCGATTTATAGAAGAATAATCGATTGTGGCCAAAGTCTTACGTCTTAAAGACTCATTGTAGACACCGTTTAAGGCATCTGCTTCCACAAACAAAAAAAAACCTATAAAAAAACGGAAAGATCAATAAGAACAACAAAAAGTAAGGGCTGCTTATCATAACTCAATAACATCATCATTCTCTAATAAGTTTTTCAAGATAAGCAATCGCCTGACAGTAAAAGCAAACGATTATTCATACAAACAAAGAGATATGCGTTCGCTTCATGCTCTTGCTCCAAAACAAATGTTCTCACTTCAACCCTTCGCTAGGAAACGCTCGCTTTATTTCTACTCGCGTGACGCATTGTGCAGGAGCGAGCCACTCATTGCTGCATACACATAATTTCAGCGAGCAAAAACGCCTATCGTTCTGCCCCGGTAAAGCCAGCCAGCCCAACCCGGCATGATCCGATTCCGCCCCGCGTCCATGTAATCGTGCTCTTTTATGCTAATCGGCAACCCTTTCGCGTTTAACCAGCTGCGCCGCCGTCATTGTCTCGGCTGTCCGTGAAAACTTTTTCTTGCCACTGAGCACGAGCTCGTTTCGTTTCGTCTCACCGCGGCACGCGGAAAACGCACGCGACCGGGCCTCGCTACCCGGATTCGTTTTTTTTTTTTTTTTTTATTATTAAAGGTCAGTCGAAGAGAAGGAAAAAAGGGTTAACGCACCGAGGGACGCGTGTGGGTGGGTGGCGCGTTGCACGGGGTGAGTCCGATGACGAGAGTAGGGCTTAATGAGGGATGTGCGTGCTGACGCGGTCGCAAATCCGCGTAACGCGCTTTTCCCGACCGCGACGTGCTCACGGCATCGTGTACGCGGAAATGAACGTACGCACGTCTCACGAAGACCTGCCCTTCTTGCGTAGGGGAGGGGAAGCCTTTTAACCCTTTTACCCTCGAGGACATGCGCGTTGCAGACGAGCGTCGCAATGCAACCTCGGTAATTGCTGCACCCGAGACAAAATGGCAGGATCATCGACGGCGATGGCGTGTTTTCTTCCTCGCGAATTATTCGCATCCCTCCCGAATCATCGGCTCCCTTATCTTCTAAATGATCGGAGAAATCGATTCGTTTGCGGAAACGAATCGATTTCTCCGTTTTGCCATTACGGCAAACGTCTCTGTCGCGCGAAAAATGAATTGGATTTAAACATGAAATATTAGCAATTGTTTATACTCGACTTTATCGAGCGACAGTTTGTTTTGTTTTAATCGAATTTTTGACTTTGCGATTTCAACATCTTAGATGATTCGCGACATGGACGGAGTTTTGAGGAGATTCATTCGCACACAGAACTAAGAAACGGTAATGGCTTTACTGACAACCTCTGTCGAGGGTGCAAAATCTCTGATTAACCGGTTTACCCGTTCGCTGATGACCAGTCATTCCGCTGATACGGTCGCTCTAAGAGCGCGCAAACTCGCGTACGGACCGGCGAAGGAGAGAAGCAATTACCGTGGGGGAGGACTTAAGGAAAGGCGAAAGAGAGGAATATCGCGCGCGGAGAGCTCCATCGGGGTTTTCCTCGGGGGTCGATGGTGAGGCTCGCTCCGTAGTTAGCGGGGCGTGTCTTCGGTTTCGTTGAATTAAACATCGTGCCCGCTTCAATCAGCCCGTTTCTCCTCACCCTCCCCCTTTCCACGACCTCTTCGCCGCCGCGATTCCGGAAAAAGCCGCGCTCCTTCCTTTTTCACCTTTCTCTCTCTTTTTCTCTTCTTTTCACACATCCGTTCGCTTCCGCCGGATGCCCTTCGACGCCGCGAACGAGCCGCGAGACGTCGTAAGACGAGGGGGTGCAAATGAGTTTAAGGGCTCGTTTTGTTGTGGGATCTATTTCTCTGTAAATCTTCGCAATCAGTCCTCGCGTCGCGCTCTCGTTCGTGCAATTGCCCGAAGCTTTTGTATCTCTGTGGGGATGCTTAAAAAAAAAGAACAGATTTACAGAACGACGAGGAAGTACGGAATTCGATCGGAGTTGTCGTAAGGCAAAAAGAATCGTCGGAAACGAGCTTCGCATTATCGATTGTTAAACGTCGCCGAGATTTTGAGAATATTAAACATAAATAATACCAAGTCGCTCGGATAATGTTTAAGCGTGTAACGAGAAATGTGAGTGTATGTAAATCCAATGTTAAAACTAGTAACTCTGCCCCTCTCTCTCTCTCTCTCTCTCTCTCTCTCTCTGACGTAC